CGAATGTCCATGAAGTATAGTCCTGCATAGACGGCGATCACATCCGAGGCCAGCAACTCTGGAAAGACCCGGTGTGAACCCAGCAGAGCCTGGTTGAAATATCTTGAACAAAGAATGGCCTTCAGCGCAGCGCTGGTCTTTTGGACTCAATATCTTTTTGATTCTGCAAAGTACAGAGCTTATCGTTCAACTGTAGAACTATCTATAAACACACATCGTGCCTAAACAGGAATATCGCGCAGATTTGACTCGATAACGCCTACTACGTGCGTTACGAATGCAAGTTCTTGTGTTCCTGGGACCACTCACACCTGCACGGTTGAACTGATTTCACTGTTTTTAAAGGATAAAAAAAGGATAAAGCATTTGCCGTTGATCAATCCCTTTTTGGGATGCGGCACGCATTCTACTTCCATTTGTACATTCGTAGTGGCGTTTGAATGCGATGTGGCCTATACAATGACTTGCGGGGGCCAGCCGATGTACAAGTCAGTGTTTTTATCCTCCCAGACAAGTCTGGTACCAATTAACCGACCCCGGAGGGATGGAAGGCTTGGTTGGCCCGGGCGACTCACGACCCAGGATTTGATCCCCGGACCGCTCGCGTGGTAAGCGTGCCACTTGCCACTACACCACTTCCGCCCTGTTTTTATACAGAAGGATGAAACCTATAGGCTTCACACAAGAAACTGTGCACACCAAGGACCCACCCCTCAGCACTGTTTACATAAGTCCGGCTTGGTAACCTGTAGGCCATCGCTGGTGATCAATGCATCATATGCGTCTTGCATTCGTGTCAAGCGTAGGTCTGCTCTGTATCACAACAGGCTCTGTAACTTTGTTCAAAAAGCTGTTAGGTAGATAAGAAAGATCTATTAGGTGATATGCATCTCCCTTCAGACGGCCACTTCGACCTTCTACCTTTCCATGTTGGTTAAACCTGATATACTCTAACGTCGCCCCCAAAATCACTCAAACATTGCTGTCAAGTGTGACTGCTTGACCACTCAAACAACAAATGTTTAAGGCAACTATAACACTTTCTATCTACCAACTACCTCTTGTACCCATCTACAACTTCCCAGGGGGGTAGGTACAACAACCTACGGACGAAGCCTTCACCTTACTTCACCTTGTTAAAGAGTGTCTTCTCTGCATATTTCCCAACATCTGTGAGATCCACAGTCTTTGTCTCAACTTTGTTGCACGGTCACCTTTGAGCGAACTGAGAGTGCACTCGAAGTTGAGCAGTCACATCGTTCATTTACAAACAAACAAACGATGATACGTGAAAAAAAAAAATGATCGCTGACAACCTCAAAGGAACTAAGCTCTCAAGAAGGTAATGCGATCAGATAATCATATCAGTTACAAAGTATGCGCAAAATACAGTAGCATCAAGCTAGAAAACTTTACAAACGATTAAATAAGCAATAAAAGAAAGTAACTTGGAATAAAAAGAAAGGTGGCTGTTACTATCACGATCACAACGGCGACTACTAGCGGGACTAGCTTGCTGAAGGAAGGAATGAATCGAAAGTCAAGATCCCATGAATCTAACAAGATTGCACAAAAAATACTATACAAAAAATACATGGATTGTCCTGAATTGTGTATCACAGAAATCACTCGTGATTCGAATGTGGCTTTGAAAAAATGAAGTCACATGACCAGATTCAGCATGGCACGATTGATGATCAGTTCAAATTGAGCAAAAATAGACCAGGACCACCGAAGGGACTAATCCTTACTAAGGGTGAGCGCTTTTCCGCAATTTTGACAGCTTTCTCAAAGTAGATGTCTTTGATGGAGCAGATGACGCGGGGAGAAGCCCGTCGGCCATCTCCATCAGCACAGCCTCTGCAGCTTCTGACGGGTTTCTAGAGCCACCGTTAGAGCGCTGATAAGCCTGAAAGCACAGTCATTATATTAGAGAAGATCAATCATGACGCGATCTCGTAAACCTACGAGAGGTGGCACCGAGCTCGGTGAGACTTACTAATTACTATTTCCTTTCCCTTCCCCCTTCCCTTCCCTTCCCCCCCCCACTCCCCACCTTCCCTGCCCTGCATTCGTCTATAATTTTTATATAGTGTGTTTTGAGAGGTGTCGGCGACAAGCGCTATTTTTCTCAAACTTCCACTCTCAGCCGGAGACCGCCGTCACACTCGGCGACGGACAAGCGATGGAGCGATCGATCGCGTCGCTCCATCGCTTGCCCGTCGCCGAGTGTGACGGCGGTCTGATGCTGCGCGCGCCGCGAAAAAATGCGCGTGATCGTGCGGCGATCTCTTGCTAATCGAACATCTTTCTCTGACGACCGCTTTGGAAAGACCAGAACATAAAAATCCACCCATCGAAACGTGCAGCAGAACAAGTGCCTTTCCCGTGCAAATTGACTTCATTTGCGAAAACTCAAAGCACAAACAAAACAAAAGGTAAGGTAAAAATAAAAGTTAAAGGTAAAAATAATGCGAAGCTTGGAGATATAATATCTGAGGTGGAGCGCAGATTCCTCCCGTTGTCATTTTGTTTTTCTATTAAAATTTCGCTTTGGGAGAAAATGTCTGTGTCACTCAGTGAAAAGAGGTCAGCATTACTATCGATTCTGGAGATTTTAACAGCTATTGGAGCAGGTGACTACCACCCGACAGGAAATGAGGCAAAATGGAAAATCTCTGGTGTTCACCTGGGACGCAGGAGAGTTGAGCGCTTGCACCACATCGGCCATGTGTTCCCGTGCTTGCTGAGCTTTTTCAATGGATTCGAATTCCACCGTGATTGTCTTCCAGGTTCGGTTTTCGTAATTCTTAATAAACCACGTTTAGTC